TAATACTAAGTTTGGCAATCTGATTTGTTAGCTGTTTAATAGCTTGGTCTGTTTCTGTTGTAGTATTAGTAGCCATTACATGTCCATTTTCCTATTGCTTTGCAGTAGTAATAGTAATATTTAGGTTAGCAGATTCACTAGTTAGCATATTAATAAAAAATTCAGGATGTAGTTCTTAGATAAATAGTTGTTTAGTAAAGTTAGCAGAGAAAGCATTACCAGAGTCAACTTGTTTTTTCAATTGTCTAAAATGATTAATATATATATCTACTGTATCTGGGCCTTGTTTGTTATCAAAAAGCTGTTTCTGCCAAATAGCTTTTTGTTTAGATATATGAAAATGAAGTCTAAAAAGATGTTTAAAGCTTCTGTCTTGGTTGACATTATAATTAAAAACATTTAAAACAAAGTAAAGACTTAGTTACCAATTTAATACAATTTCTTTTACAGTAAGTATACAAAAATAAGTTTCAATTTTTAAGTAGCATCTTACTTGTTAGCAGTAGCAGCTCTTTGAAAATCTTCAAGCCATTGTTCTGGATCTTGTGTTCTATTATTATAAAAAAAGTCAGTCTTTATAAGAGCTTTTTTACTTCTATTTAAAGTATTAGTAAGATTAGCTATAGCTTGTGCAGCATTTTGTAAAGCTTGTTGTGTTATGTTATCAGATAGGTTAAGAAGATTATTAAGAATAGGTAAAAGTAGAGAAAGAAACTAAGGTTGAGATTAAATAGGTTAAGGTTGAATAGGTTAAGATTAAATAGGTTGAGATTAAACAGTGATAGATTAAAGTAATAGAAAAGCAAATGAGATGAAGGTGAAGAAGAAGGACTATCTTCAAGAGTTTGTTATAATAAGTCAGTAGGAGTGTAGTATAAGCTAAAGGTTTTTGTAAGGGCTACAAAAATAATAATATATTCTTCTGTTTCTAAATTGTCAATGGCTAATAAAGAAATTTATAAAGTTCAATTAGAAATATAATGACTTTTAGAGAGCTCAGTAAGTGTAACTAATTTACTATAGAGAGCTAAGCTATCTTCTAAATTGCATAAGAAGAGAATATTATCAGTAAAAGTAATATCAGTAATAAAAGGTAAAATAGAACTTCCTAGATTTCTAAAATGTCAACTAAATTCTTCTGGTTTTTCAAAACTAAAACTTAGAGAAGCATCGAGATAAAGATCAAAGGCATTTTGATATTTAAAAAGTAAGATATGAAGTTGAAAGAGATTGGTATATCTTCTAACTAGAATTAAGGCTATTGTTCTAGAATTACCAATATCTTGTTGATATCGACAACTAAAAATGATATCTCTAATACAAAGGCAAAATGTAATTTAATTTGAAGATAGGCTATTAAAGATGGTAAAGTTCTTCTAAGTTTAAGAAAAATAATGTTAAGCTGCAAATTTGGTTTAGTACTAAGTTCAAAATTGTCCAAAATTTGAGCAAGAGCTAGTACATTAAGGAAAGTAATACTAAAGACAAGATAAATCTAGTCTACTGCAAGATGAAATTCAGTTAGATATGCTTGTTGATGGTTTTGGATGTTCTTGTTGTGAAGTTTAGCAGTAGTGTAAACCATAAAAGAAAAAATGTATCTATATCTGAAACTTTGCTGAAATAATTAATACTTATCTAGGTCTCTTGCTGAAATAACTAATACTCATTTGGATCTCTTACTAGGATAACTTTTTAATATGTTTAGAGATGTCTTATCTAGGATGACTTGTTTTCTTTAAAAATTTAACCTTTTTGCCAGAAAATACCAAATATTATAAGTGAAAGCCTTATTTATTTTTATACTATAATAACAACACAATATAGAGAATCTCTTACAGATATATGCAATATCTAAGAGGAAAATATAGCTTCTGTTAGATGTTGTCAAGAAACTATACTCTTCTCTGAGGCAGTTCAGAAAAGATAATATAATATTAATAACTTTACTTTATTTTACTAAGTAAAAATAAACCTTGCCTATAGAAATTATTTTAGAGAATGAGTATCAATATAGTTTATAGTTAAAAGCTGTTTATTAAAGTAATAACAAGAAGGGCTATTCTTAGGTTTCTGTTTCTAAAGAATTTCAAAATATGTTTACAATATTAAAAAGAAAAGAAGTGTTTGTTACTTAATCACATTTGAGAAATTTAGCAGAGTTTATATATTTGTGAGCTAAATACTAAGTAGTCAAGAGACTAAGTGATTAAACAACTAAGTGACTAAGTATTAAGTGACTAAGCAACTAAGCAACTAAGTGATTACTAAGTGACTAGAAGGTTTTAGCAACTAATGACTAATAATTACTAAGTGACTAATTACTAAGCAACTAAGTAGCTAAATGACTAGATAACTAAGTAACTAAGTAACTAAACAATTATTAATCAACTGAAAAGTTCTAGCAACTACTAATAATAATAATATAATAATAAAATAACTAATATTAAATAATAATAATAAAATAATAATAATATAATAATAATAATAAAATAATAATAATTTATTTTATAACAATAATAATAAATACAAATACTTAATAATAGTATTTTGATTAGTTAATTATTATATAATTATTATATAATTTATTATAAATTTATAATATTAGATTTTTAAATAAACTTATTTTAGTCATGTTGTTAACTTTCAAGTAGCAGATCTAGAGTTCAAATCTTAATATTGACAAAATTTAAGATTCTTTGTATATTATAATCAATTGTTTTCTATCATTAATTAAGTTAAGTTATTATTATTTATATTATATCAGCATAACTAAAAGGTTACATAGCATTTATATAATGATTGTACTTTGTATAAAAAAACACAAACTAGTACTGAGTAGTATGAATTTATAATAAATTTTGTGATTATATAAATCATAGAAACTATAAAACAAAAGTCTATTTAAAAGATCTAAATAGAAAGATAACTCAAACTTTTAATAGTATTATTATAAAAACTAGACCTATAAAATAGAGCTAGAACTTGTAAAGCTAGATGAAGACAAGTCAATCTTTGAGAAGAGGCTGTTATAACTAGTTAAACTACTAAAACTCTAAAAAGAATAACAAAAAAAATTACATATTAGAGAATATATAAACTAGAAATATGGTTATATTTATCTTTTCAAATTATCTAAACTAAGAACTTGGTAAAACTTGAATTAAATACTAAAATAGTAAAGATATATTGTAAAGTAATTACTGAGATTGAGGTAAACTTTATAAGAGCATAACAGTTTAATAATATAACCTAATTGCAAGTGTTTGTCTTGATTATAAAGTTATCAGATTAACTATAAGAATGCAATACAAAAGATTTTAAAAGGTTTAATACAAGATCAAAAGTTTTCTATATGAGTAAACTGCTTTAAAAACTTAGTAATCATAACAAATTTTTACCAGTATTAACCAAGGTTATTGGTAGATATAGGTAGATAAGTAGGATATAAAAACTAGAATATTTAAATAAGAAACTTATAAGCAGATTTCAGATATGGCAGCTAGTATAAAATCTTTAGAAAAACTATTTAAATTAGATAATAATTAAAGTTATACAAGTAGCTAGTTGTACACTTTTTTTATAATTATTTTTTGTGATTGTAATGCAATTATTAGCTAAATATACTATCAATAAAATTCTAAGTCACAAGTACTTACTTTAATATTAAAAAACAAAAAAAAATAAATAAATTTTAATAATTATATTATATTATTAGAATTATAAAAATCTGTTTTACAACTTTGTTAAAAAGTTTAAAAACAATTAAATTAGTATAAATATTTTTAAATATTCAAATAAAAAAATTTACAATTAAAATCATATAACAAGTAATCTACATATACCTTACTTTAAATTATATAAAATAATTTATTTTGATTAGTTAATTTCTATAATTTTATATAATAAACTTTATAATAAAAATTATATTTAATCTTTAAATTTTAATAATAAAATTTTGACTTATTTTAATAAAATTATTACTACTAAAATTATAAAAACCTATTTTACAAATTTGGTTAGAAGCTTAAAATAGATTTAATTAATAAAAAGTTCTATGATTTAAATTTCAACAAATATTTATTATCATATTTATATATAATTTTAAGACTTAGTTATTAGGTATCTCTATTTAATTGCAAATATAATTTCAAGAATCTTAATAAAGTACTAACGTGACTGCTTAAGTTATAAAAAAAAAAAATATATATATATATATATATATAATATTAAAATAGTACTCAAAAATTTCCAAATCGATTAGTTGGAAAGTTGTCAACTAGTTGTTTTTCAATTAACGATTTGAATCACTAAACCCAACAGGTTGTTACGAGAACATTTATTCTAACTTTAAATAGACCAACTAACTTCTCTTTTCTAATTTCATATATAAATTTTTTTTCAAACTCATCTGATTATTAAAATTATTCAAAATTTGATTCGGTTATGAAAAAACCAATTACTATAAATTGCTATTAATACTCTGTTCTCTTACGTATACGGCAGTTTACGGTAATTACCTTTTTTAAATCCTATAAAGAATTTTAATTATTAATTTTATATTTTTTTAAGTAATTTGTTTTTTAATTTTTAATTATTGAACCAAATCTAGTAAAAATTTATAACGTTAACGTTAATCTTCAAATATGAAAATTATCGTTATGTTTACACCATGAAAATTTGTCATTTCCGTAGTTTATTATGACGATGAGTTTTATCGTTATATAGTCATAGGTAATGTAAAAATAGTAAATTTCCATGTGTTCCCATAATTTAAAGTCCAAAAAAAATTTATTTTAGAAAAGATATTCAATCTTCAACCATTAGAGTATTCGTGGCTTTAAATATGACGAGATGATCTACAAGAATCAGCCAATCACAATAAAAGCCGTATTCTGATATTTCACGTTACATACTCGATAATGTGAGCAAAACTATAAACTCGATTTTTCCTTAGTGTCGTGTGAATCTATCTTCAAATAAATAAATCGCACCGAGCTATGGTAATGGACATTCATTCATTTTTTTTTTTTTTTGCCGCGCATTTTGTAATGGTACTTTTTTAAATTATAAATATAAAAATTGTTAATTACAGTCAGCCACTGAAAACATCTCTCCGTCTGTAATAAAGAGAATCACGAAGGAGTTGGATGCCCTCAGAACACACCCTCCAGAAGGAATCCGAGTTGTTATGAACGAACTCAATATCTGTGACGTTCAAGCATGGATATCAGGCCCAGGTAAGTGTTTAGTTTGTCATTTTATATTTTCAAACCTATAACGTTATTTAGATTTAATATTTTTCAGAGGGTACTCCATATGAAGGTGGATTCTTCAAAGTAAAAGTGGTATTCGGTGCAGACTTCCCGACGGTGCCTCCGAAATGTATGAAATATCAGATCATTTGATTTATTTTATTTTACACATTTACAAAATTTCATTTGTATATATAATACCCGATTTCAAAACTAATTGAAACATAGTATTAACGCCAAATTATGATGTTGAATCGTGATTTTTATGTAAAGGTAACTTCATTACTAAAATATTCCATCCAAATGTTTCAAAAACTGGTGAAGTTTGTGTGGATACATTAAAGAGGGATTGGAATAAGGATTATGGTATTGAACATATTTTACTGGTAAGGATTGTTTAGATGTTATACTTTATCTTCTTTTTTTTTTTTTGTATTTATTTAGCTCTGACCTTTTCAGACCATTAAATGTTTGCTAATTGTTCCTAATCCCGAGTCCGCACTTAACGATGATGCGGGTAAACTGCTTCTGGACAGCTACGAAGATTATGCAAAGCGTGCTCAAATGATGACAAGTATACACGCGCAATATAAACCAACCGTATTTTCCGCAAATAACAACATTTCTATTACTCCAACGTCAACATCTTCCACGCCCTCTGTGTCAACATCTTCAACATCACAAAAAATTATTACTTCCCAAGTAAAGAGTCCTGCTAGCATAAACACGATTACTCCTGCTTCAGCATACACTTCATTGGTTACACCACTCGCAGTGTCAAAGTCCAAAAATGAAACAGAATCTTTCAGTGGCCCAAAAAAGAATTCGGTATCTGCGCCTTCTGAAAATTCGAGCCCTTCTGTCACACCAAAGAAGCGTGCTGGTGACAAAAAATTGGATAAGAAGCAAGTAGACAAAAAACGAAGTTTAAAGAGACTTTAATAATTCGGGAAATTATACACATTAAAAATTATTATGTCAAAGCATTCTTTTTCTTTAGACCACATGTTATTTGTTACGCGTTTAAAAGGGGCTGTTCAACATTATTTTTGGTGGTTGGCATGTTGTAAATCATCAATTATTATATAACTTGATTATTAGTAACGACGTAAATACATCATCAAAAAATATCAACACAAGAGATTTTACTATTGGGTATTAATAACCATGTATTACTACACGCGTAAAGACCCATAAACGTTACGCGACATATAATTGTCTACTTTGCCAACACAAAAACAAAAAAAAAACATTTAAAAATAGTTACAACCTTAAACAACCAAATTCATTGTCATTGAAAGGAAAATGCTAGTGAAATTTTGGGGCTTGTCCAAATATTTGTATTTATATTTTAGATGAGTGACGAAAACGGACAACCTATAAATTGATTTTACTATTTTCATTTGTCGGACTCGGCCTCTGAAGAATCTACATGATACAATTTGTTATTGAAACTACTAGAACGATTAGTTGTATTCATATATGGGCTAGGTGCTGGAAAAAGGGTCGAAGATGACTTTTTTTCGAAATTTTTTTTTTTACATAAATCAATTTAGAATAAATTAAGATCATTTTTCACTTAAGATACAAAAGTAATTGTATTAATAAAATTTTGCGGTATAGCTCTTTAAAGCTAATGATTTATTATAAGATTTGTTTTTTTTTGTCATTTTCCCGCACCTAGCCCATATGATCACATGTAATTATCGCGGATCAATTTCATAAGGGCCGAGTTCGATAAGGCGAAGGTTGGTTAATTAATTTATAGGATTTCATTTTCGTTATTAATTAGCTTAACAGGAAAGCGATAGCTGCGGTTCAAATCTTCTAGTGGAGCAACAAAAATTCAGCAGATCGACCTAAATACAGGCCGGGATCACCAAAATTTCAGGTCGGAATACCTCGGAATCATGATCGGCGGAGTCGGAATTAACTACCTAATTTTACTAAAAGGTTTACTAATGAATTACATAAATTACATAAAAATTCTACTGTTACGTACAAAATTCTTAAGAGTAGGGTGTACGTAGATCATTTTTCATATGACCTATATGGTATAATGGATTTTTATATAGTAAATTAGAATGTTATTAATAAACTTTTTTTATTTTTTAATTAATTTTTATTAAAATTTAATAATATATATATTTAAAATAAGTTATTTATTATATTAAAATTTTATAAAATATTTAATTTAAAAAAAAAAGATTTGTATATATCTTAAACTTTTTTAAATCATTTTATATTTTTTAGATTATACAAAAAAGTTAACTTTAATTAGTTAATTTTTAAAAAACTATAAAGAAATTTTAATAATAAATTTTTATATTTTATTTTTAAAAATTTATATATCAATGAGTTTTAAACCAATTTTAATATTCCAGTAATAGTGAAAATTTGCAATTTTTTCTGTATTATGGCTAACTGTCTTTCATGATTGGTTAGAATAAGATATCTGTAATCTGTATCATATTAGCATAACTAAAAGGTCTAAACACTTGTACAATATTATATAAGAGAACACAAACTGGTACCAGGTGGTATGAATTCAAGATAAGTTCTTAGGTTATATAAATCACAGAAACCAGGTAGGAAGATAGAAGTCTACTTAGAAGACCTAATTAGAGAGATAACCCAAATCTTTGACAGTGCTATTATAAAAATTAAACTTATAAAACAGAACTAGAACTTGTAAAATTGAGCATATATGCTATTTTTTGAGGAAGAACCAGATGAACCAATCAGGTCACCAAAATTTCTAGGTTTTAGAAAAAAAGGTTACATGTTGGCAAACATATAAACCAGAAGTACAGTCTTGCCCTACCTTTCCAGACTATCTGGAATGACAGCTTGATAGAACTTAAATTGAATACCATAATAGTAAGGATATGTTGTAAAGTCAATATTAGGGTTGGAGTGAACTCTACAAGAGCATAGCAGTTTAATAATATGTCCTGATTGCTAATGTTAGTCTTGGTCATAGTAATACATATCAGGTCAGCTATAAGAATAGGATACAAAAGATTCTGAAAAGTTTAGTACAAGGTTAAAGGTTTTCTATATAAGTGAACTGCTTTAAAGATTAGTGGCTATGACATATTTTTATTACCATTAGCTGAGATCATTGGTAGACAGAGATAGGTGAATGGATATGAAAACAGAGTAGTTAAATAGGGAACCTACAAGTGGGTTTCAGATATGGTAACTAGTGTAAAACCTTTAGGCAGACTACTTAAATTAGATAATAATTAAAGTTGTATGAGTGACTAGTTGTATACTCTCTTTATAGTTACCTTCTGTAATTGTAATACGACCATTAGCCAAATATACTATCAATAAAATCTTGGATTACAAGTACTCACCTTAATATTTAAAAAAAATAATAATAATAATAAAAAACTAATTTTAATAATTTTATTACTATTAGAATTACAAAAATCTACTTTACAATTAAATTTAAAAACTTAAAAAATATTTAATTAGTAAAAATTTTTGTAATTAATTTACAAACAAAATATATATATATATATTTTTTTTTTATCTTAAGCAGTTACATTGATACTTTATTAAGATTTTTGAAACTATATATTTTTATAATTATATAAAATTTCCTAATACCCAAGTCTAGCATCACTCGGTCACCCATTTGGTATCTAAATGCAACATGCTATATTATCTCAGTTAGAAATAGACTGCTTGTCTAATTACTTAAAGCCATATCAAAAGAGTTTTCTTCCTTCTGTAACAAGCATATCAATTGTCTTTCAAGCTTTTTTCTTCACTCGATTCAGTTTTTCTGCTTTCTTTTTCTTTTCTTCTTTCTTTGCCAGCTTGCTTTTCTTTATTTTTTTCTCTGGTTTTCTTCTTATTCAAGTACCTTTCTTTATTTTGCTTGTTATATTGATCTTTTTTTTCTATTTCTGCACTTTTTCGTATTGAACTCTTCATATTTGGTCATAAAATGTATTTCATACTGTTCTTGTTACTATATCTATGTATTTTTGTGTTATCTGTCTATTTAGAATCTGTTTAAGCCTTTTTTCAACCTCTGTTATGACTAGTCCTTTTATCATTGACCTTTTGTTTCTAATTTCTTCTGCTTCTGTTTTCTCAAATAATGTTTTATATAGAACTAGAAATAAAATTCTACTTTTTTCACTTTCTTTAAGGTTGTTTCATGCTGTTGCTATTGCTACTTTTTGGATTCTCTTTTACAAACTTTTTTGTTTGATGCAGCTTGCTAAGTGTGCTTGAGTTTTCTTTTCACCTTTTTGACAAACTTGGCAGTCTGTTATTGTATAAATCTCTGGTCTTCTTCTATTTAACTCTTTTAGTGTTGATAGACTATTCATTATGCATTTGATCACTATTGCTCTTTTAGTATTAAGTTTTCTTGTTGTACAGTGTACACCTTTGTTCTGTTTATTTCTTTTCAAAAACTTGACCAATTATGTTGTATATTCTCTGTTTCTGGTTCTAATGTTCAGTTTGGGTTTATTTCTTTTCAACTGGCTCCAATTCTGGCATTTATCACAATTTTGCAAAGAAGTCTTGCTAGTATATTGACCTTTTTGTGTTTTCATTCCAAGTGGTACTCTACTTTCTCACATCTGACTTTCTCTGCAGATATTGTCTTATCACATGCTGCTCCTTTCTTTGCAAATACATCTGCTCTGTTATTCCATTTGTCATTACTGTGACTTTTGACTTTAACTAATTCTATTTTAATGTTTTTGTTTTTGACTAGATTTATAATGTTCATTAGCTACATTATATTTTTCTTTTTCAGAACTCTGACATTACCTATGTCTTAAATTGCTCTACTGATATTTCTTAATGCCACTAGGCTGTTTGTATACACTTCTATAGCCTTCTTTTCTGATATTGTTAAAGCTGCTAACCATATTGCTGCTAGTTTAGTTGTTGTCACTAAGAGCCAACCTTCAAGTCTCAGTTCTGTCTCTTCTTCTGACCAATCTCTTTTATTTTCAACTTGTATCTAGCCTATACTCATCTTTTCTAAACTATTTCAACTTCTTTTTTTAAATAATACACCATCTGTATAAAAAGTATATTTGTCTTTGTTTTTCATTATGTTTCTTGTAAGAGCTTCTATTAAGTAAGTTGCAATCTCCTTTTTGAATTCTTGTTTTTTAATTAATTCTATTTCTAGTCCTTCTATTTGTTTTAACCTAGCTAACTCTTTTTTTTTTTCTTTTTTTTTAGTATTAAGGTGAGGCCTTGCTTATATTTTTATTAATAATTTAAAATAGTTACATATATATATGCTATGGCTGAGGCCAACACTTGCAGTCAGGGCTAACCATTAAACTGCTAACTATATAGCTACTACTATTTGTACAAAACAAATAAATTGAAAATTACATGCAAGAATAAAAGCTCAGACTAGTTTATCTGTGACCTAAACCTACTAGAGTGGTCAAAGCTCACCTAGATTTGGATGTTTAATATATAATTGGATGATATGCTATATTTGATCTATAGAATAGACCAAATGTTAATTTTGCAAATTGCTTGGCCAATAGGAAGGCATGTATTTGAGTAAAAATATAATTAATCAGAAAGTCTGCAAAGGCATGAGTAAGTGTAATCTCTTCGAGAGTGTGTAAGTTTTCTTATTGGATTAAAAGATCTTGAAGGTTGGTTAATTGGTTGAGATCAGAGTTTGTTTTGTTGGTTTTTCCAATTAGAGAAATGGATACAGTATGTTTTTTATAGTTGCTCATATGATTGTTCATTAATATTAAGAAGAATATCAATAATAGTTTGAGAAGCCATTTTGTATGAAATATCAGAGTTTTGAATTGTTAATATAAGAGACTTTGGAATAAGTCCTTTAAGAGTAAGGTTGGGATAATAAGTATTATGTAATGTATATAGAGAGTTAAGAGCTAGATGATAGAGAATTTTGTTAATTAAGT